TTCCTGGATAATATCTTGAAGAATGTTTTCCAGCTTGGATTCATTCTCTCCATCATATTCAGGTACACATGTCAAACATAGATTAGGTCTTTTAACATAATCCCATATTTCTTGCAGGCTTTGTTCATTTCTTTTTACTCTTTTTTTCTCTAATCCTGCCTTCTTGTTTTATTTCATTGAGTTGATATCAATGAAATCAACTCAATCAACTTCAACCTCTGATATCCTTTCTTCTGCTTGTTCAGTTTGGCTATTGAAACTTGTGTATGCTTCATGAAGTTCTTGTGTTGTGTTTTTCATCTCCATCAGTTCATTTATATTCCTCTCTAAGCTATTTATTCTCAGCATTTCGTCAAACCTTTTTTCAAGGTTATTAGTTTCTTTGCATTGGTTTAGAACATGTTCTTTTAGCTCAGAGAAGTTTCTTATTACCCACCTTCTGAAGCCTGCTTCTGTCAAGTCATCAGACTCATTCTCCATCCAGCCTTGTTCCCTTGCTGGTGAGGAGTTGTGATCTCTTGGAGGAAGAGAGGCATTCTGGGTTTGGGTGTTTTCATCCTTTTTGCTCTGGTTTGTTCCTATCTTTGTGGATTTATTTACCTATGGTCTTTGTAGTTGGTGACTTTCAGATGGGGTCTCTGTGTGGATGTCCTGTTTGTTGGTGATGAAATTATTCCCTTCTATTTCTTAGTTTTCCTTCTAACAATCATGACCCTCTGCTGTAGGACTGCTGGAGGTCGACTCCAGACCCTGCTTGCCTGGGGATCACCTGCAGCAGCTGCAGAACAGTAAAGGTTGCTGCCAGTTTCTTCTTCTGTTATCTTTGTCCCAGAGGGATACCTGCCAGATGTCAGTCTGAGCTCTCCTTTATTAGGTGACTCTTTGGATATATGGGGGTCAAGGAGCTGCTTGAGGAGACAGTCTGTCCTTTATAGGAGCTCAAGTGCTGAGTTGTGAGCTCCGTTGTTCTGTTCAGAGCTGCCGGGCGGGTATGTTTAATTCTGCTGCAGCAGAACTCATAACCATCTTTTTTTCTCCAGGTGCTCTGTCCAGGAAGGTAGGGCTTTATTTATAAGTTTCTGTTGTGCTGCTGCCTTTTTTCAGGGCCGTCCTACCCAGCAAGAAGGCAGCCTAGTCACAGTCTGCCAGCAGAGGCATTGCTGAGCTGCTATGGGCTCTGCCTAGCTGCTGTGTGAACTTCCCTGCAGTCCTGTTTATAGTGGTATAGTTAGAACTGCCTTGGCAATGGTGGCCTGACTTTGTAATGGCGGACTCTCTCTGTAATGGCAGACTGCCTTGGCTATGGTGGGCTGCCTCGGTAATGGTGGACTGCCTCTGCAGTGGCAGACCATCTCAACAATGGCAGACTACCTCGGTAGTGGTGGACTGCCTTGGTAATGGCAGATGCCTCCTTCTCCACAGAACTGGACTGTCCCAGGTTCAGCCATGCTTGCTGTGAAACTCTCAGTCCTGAGCGTTTCAGATTGCTGGTCTTTGTTGGGGTGGGACTGGCCGAGCCTGATCACCTGGCTCCCTGCCTCAGACCCCTTTTTTTTCAGATGAACAAGCAACTCTGTCTCCAAGGTGTTGCAGTTGCCTGTTGAAAAGGTGCCCGAATTTGTGTGAGTTTTTGTGTGGAGACCTGCTGCGAACAGCCGTGCTGGAGACTTGTGGTGCTTTTCCACCAGGGAATCTCCTGGCCTGGCTCCCTGTTTCAGCCCCCTTTCTATCAGTTGAACAGGTGACTCCAGGTGCTCCAGTTGCCAGCTGAAATGTTGCCCGGACCCATGTGAGTTTTGTGTGGAGACCCACCTCGCTGGCCAAAACAGCCACACTGGAGACCTGTGGCACTCCTCCGCCCAGGAATCTCCTGGTCTGTGGGCAATAAAAATCCGTCTGGAAATGCAGCGACCACTCACCCTCCACGCTCTCGCTGGGAGCTGCAATCCAGAGATGCTCCTACTTGGCCATCTTGGATTTTTCTTCTTTTTTTTTCTTTCTTTTTTTTTTTTTTTTTTTTTTTTTTTTTTTTTTTGAGATGGAGTCTAGCTCTGTGGACCAGGCTAGAGTGCAGTGGTGTGATCTCAGCTCACTGCAACCTCTGATTCCCAGCCTCCTGAGTAGCTGAGATTACAGGTGCATGCCACCACACCCAGCTAGTTTTTGTATTTGTAGTAGAGATAGGGTTTCACCATGTTGATCAGGTTGGTCTTGAACTCCTGACATCATGACCCACCTTCCTAGGCTTCCCAAAGTGCTGGGATTACAGGCGTGAGCCACCACACCCAGCCACAACCACTGATATTCTTACTGTCTCCATGGTTTTGCCTTTTCCACAATGTCAGATAATTGGAATTATGCATATAACCTTTTCAGATTGGTTTCTTTCACTTAGTAGTATGCACTTAAGGTTATTCCATGTCTTCTCATGTCTTGAAAGCTGATTTCTTTTTCACTGAATATTCCACTGTCTGGATGTATCACAATTTGTTTACCCATTCACCTACTAAAGGAAATCCTGGTTGCCTCCAAATTTTGGCAATTATGAATAAAGCTGCTGTTAACATCTGCCTGCAGGTTTTTTCTGTGAACATTAAAAGTTCAGCTCATTGGGTAATTATTATGGAGCACAATTGCTGGATCATGTGGTAAGGGTATGTTTAGTTTTGTAAGTTTGTGGAATCATTTTGCATTCCCACCAGCAATAAACAAAAGTTCCTGTTGCGCCACATCTGTGAGAGCATTTGATGTTATCAGTGTTGTAGATTTTGGCCATTCTGATCGGTGTGTATTGGTATCCCACTACGGTTTTAATTTGCATTTCCCTGATGACATATGATGTGGAATATCTTTTCATTTGTTTATTTGCCATCTGTATCTCTTTCTTGGTGAGGTGTCCAGGACTTTTGCCCATTTTTAAATCAAAATTTTTATCTCTTGAGTCTTAAGTGTTCTTTGTATATTTTACATAGCAGTCCTTTATCAGATATGTCATCACCACCATCTAGATATTCTGTTATCTTCTGAAAGTTTTGTAGTTTTGCATTTTACATGTAGGCCTATGATCTGTGAGTTAATTTTTGTGAAGGGTATAAGGCAGGCATCCCCAAACTACGGCCCACAGGCTGCATGCGGCCTCCTGAGGCCATTTATCCGGCCCCCCGCTGCACTTCAGGAAGGGGCACCTCTTTCATTGGTGGTCAGTGAGAGGAGTGCAGTATGTGGCAGCCCTCCAATGGTCTGAGGGACAGTGAACTGGCCCCCTGTGTAAAAAGTTTGGGGATGCCTGGTATAAGGTATGTATCTAGATTTATTTATTTGCATGTGGATGTCCAGTTGTTCCAGCACCATTTGTTGAAAAGACTATTTTTACTCTATTGTATTGCTTTTGCTCCTTTGCCAAAGATCAGTTGACTGTATTTATATGGGCCTATTTCTGGGTTCTGTATCCTGTTCCACTGACCTTTTTTGCCAGTAGCATACTGTCATGATTACTGTAGTTTTACAGTAAGTCTCGAAGGTAGTGTTAGTTTTCTGACTTTGTTGTTATCCTTTAATATTGTGTTGGCTATTCTGTCTTTTGCCTTTTTATACCCTTTAGAATAAGTTTAATATCCACAAAATAACTTTCTAGGATATTGATTGGGATTGCATTGGATCTATAGATCAAGTTGGAAAGAACTGCCATCTAAACAGTATTGAGCCTTCCCATTAGTGAACATGAAATCTCTTATTTCTTTGGTTTACTTAAAGTTTTGCAGTTGTCCTCATATAGATCTTGTACACATTTTATTAGATTAATACCGTATTTCATTTTGGGGGTGCTACTGTGAATGGTATTTTTAATTTCAAAATCTATTGTTCATGGCTGGCATATAGGAAAGTGACATTTTTTAGAGACAGGGTCTTGCTGTTTCCCAGGCTGGAGTGCAGTGGCTATTCATGAAGCAATCATAGCTCACTGCAGCCTCAAAACTCCTGGCCTCAGGCAGTCCTCCTGCTTGTCTCCTGTGTAGCTGGGTCTGCAGATACATGCCACTGCATCTGGTTTGATTGACTTTTGTATACTAACTTTGCATCCTGCAACCTTTTATAATCACTTATTAGTTCTAGTCTTTTGTTATTGTCAATTCTTCTGGGTTTTCTACATAGACAATCATTGCATCAGTAAACAAAGACAGTTCTATCTCTTCCTTCCCAATATGTATACTTTTTATTTCCTTTACTTGTCTCATTGCATTGGCTAGGACTTCCAGTACAATATTGAAAAGGAATAGTAAAAGAAGACATCCTTGCCTTATTCCTGATCTTAGGGGCAAAGCTTCTAATTTCTCATTATTAAGTATATGTTAACTGTGGTTTTTTTGGTAAGCTCATTTTTTATCTAGTTGAAATTCCCCTCTATTCCTAGTTTCCTGAGAATTTTTATCATGAATGGGGCTATTTTGTCAAATGCTTTTTCTGCTACTGATATGGTCATGTAATTTTCTCCTTTAGATGTGATGGTCTACATTATTTTCAAATGCTGAACCAGCTTTGCATACCTGGGATACATTCTACTTGGTCATGGTTGAACTTAAATCTTTTAATACTAAGAATAAAATAGATAATTTTAGTTATACTTGTGGGTACTTAAAAAACTAAATTTTACTAAACCCCCCAAACCCCATTAACAGCTCCTAAAACCTCACTTTTAGGAATTTAATGTACTTGTATTTTTTTTTTTTTTTTGCCAAGAATTTCTCAGAACAAGTACTCCTTCAGGAACTTAAAAATCTCCCAATTTATCAAAATATTAGTATACTTTAGAGAAACCCATCCCAAAATTCATATATCCTGTCTCTCTGTACATGCACACACAGATCATTTACACCAATGTTTTATGGTTAGGTTGGTATTAAAACAGTAGTCTCAGAACAGGGTACAAAATATCTTTATATCTTCAATCTCATACAGCAAAAGAGGGAGGAGGAAAAAGCTAGGAGATAGAGATACACTGATGGATGTTTCAAAAATTATTTTTATTGTTACATTTCAGAGAGGACATAGGAAGAAAAAAACCAGTTATCCAATAACTGTTATACCTTTCAGAAGAGGCACCCGCAACCCCAGCCCTAGTTCAAAGTTGCACACATTGGAGCTCAAACGGCTGCCTCTCAACACGACTGGAAATGCTAAGTATGTATATATTATCAATCCAGGGAGGCTTGGGTTTAAAATAAAATTTCTTTATTGCAAGTGTCCAAGTCCTTAGGATCTGTCCTTAAAGATACTAGAAGAAGATGAGTGAGACCACACACACCAAGGCTATGTTTAGTCTTTAGAGTAAACTAGCAAATGGCCAGTTTGTTCTAGGATGCATTGCATCAGACATCACAGTACATGAAGAAAATCTGCTTTTTGTGAAAAGCCACCAGGCATTTCAGATCCAGTTTACCATGAAGTGCAGACAGAGGAAATACCCAGATAATACAGTCAGTGCAAAAGTCAAATGGGTAAGTCAGCTCTTTGATGAGGCTGGCTACACTGCAAAATATAAATGAAACTCAAAAATAGAAGGTAAGGTCTATTTACAAAAGTTTGTTTAGTAAAGTGACTTGAAAAAAGTTGTTAACCACTTCCCAGGCATCCCTCCCCTCTCCCACCAAACAAAACAGAAAAACCCTGAAAATTTTCTTGAAAATCAAGTTAAAACTATGTGGTCAAAAAGAGAGTGCTTATTCCAGGTAAAGGACGCCAAGATAATTTACAGGCAGATTTTTAGTAAAAGTCACAAATAAGAAAAGACTTACTGGCTGACTTTGAGCTGTGTGCTTTAAAAAATGTCTCTATTAACAAGAAAAAAAATCAAGCATGTTTTTGCTTCCAGTTTTGAATCGTCCAGTAATAGATGGTGAAATCAACAGGGTATTAAAATGAAACCCAGCAAAACCCAGTCAGTTTCTTCGAGTTATCTGCCTGTTTCTCTCTAGTCACCTTGAATTCAATTCCCAATTAGCTGAGGACAACATGTCGGTCAAAGACAGACTTTCGCTGCTCTTGAACTTGAAGCTTCCAGCGCTGCTGGGCATATTCTACCTTGTTGAGCACGTTGGCTCGACTGCGGGAGCGGGCTAGCACATCATGGGCATTTGCAAAAGGCTGATGATCCTAAAAGTCCAGGAATGGAAAACATTAGAGACGGCACAGTCGGTATAAAACACAGACATAAAACAGTCACCAGCCCGCCGCAGAGATAGAAGCAGGTGAACTTTTCAAACAGAGCATCTATTTGGCTAAGCATTCAACTACAGTATGAACTCAAACACAGACCTAGGTGGTTCAAGAAACATAAGCGATGAGGGAATATTTGTGAAACAGTTCCCATGGGTCATCATTTCCAAAGATATCTCCCTTAAAGAAGTGGAGACCAAGCAAGAGACAGTGGTCATCTGTGTTAAAAAGAAGCCTTCCCTAACTGGTAGGGAAAACAAAATCTATTTTCATGTTAATACCTCTCCATGTTATAGATACGGAAAGTAGGGTCTTTCCTTGCTTTATTCAATACCATATTGCTAATGTGTGGCAGAGGAAAGATGTGTCTTTTAATTTCCTATGTCCATTAGAATTGTTTTCTTGCCAGCTTGGGGCCATATTCACTCTGGGAGGGTAAGCTGACAGAATCTTATCTTGGTGGTTTTTAATCTGTCCCTGTACCCTCAACACATACACTAACTGGACTAGCTTCCAAAAGCTTCCTCATTTCCCAGCTTCCCCAATCTGTAATGAAAAGAGACACAGCTCCAGTGCTACAATCACCCTCTATTACCAAGGATAGTAGGAAATCATTTACTTAGCATCTCTATTCAACAAAGACTTGAATCTTCCATTGTTAAGCACCTGGTGGCTTCCAGGTTAAGTTGCCACCTAAGGAAAGAGGCTACTGAAAGGTTGCCCAGGTATAAGTAGAAAACCAACCTATCCTGGTCAAAGTAAGCCAGTGCAACTGGATGTTTGTAGTCATTACACAGGAAACCACTATGCTAATCTATTTATGAATGAGATATAAACACAGCTGTCTAAATGACAAAAAGCATTCAATAGTAATTTATTGCTTTTGTTTGCCTTTTCCTTGATCTCTTTTTCCTGAATCCCATGTTAGCAAAGCTTCTAAATGTTCCAACAGAAGATCCAAGTCACAAGTTGTACCTCTTACGCTAAACTTTGCCTCTAAGAAAGAAATGACATTATTTTGCTGTGTTTGGAAAAAGCTCTATTATATATCCAGGGCAGGAGTCAGCATGCATATGGAAAGCTATGTACATAAACATTTAATTGTAATTATAGGAGTTAGAACACCTGGTCTTGTTTTTAAATAGCAGGATGTTTTATACAATGTCTACATTTGAAAGATATCAAAGAGTTTCCTATAAAGAATCTTTCCTCTTTTTTGTCAAAATTCCTTCAACTTTTCACTTAATTTAGGTAATGGCTTGTATAAACCCTAAAACTCTATTTAAAAAGTGGGTTTTGTTTTTGTTTTTGTTTTTTTTTTTTAAAAGATGGAGTCTCACTATATTGCCCAGACTGGACGTGAACCTATTTTTTTTGAAATAGGGTCTAGCCACATTGCCCAGGCTGGAATGCAGTGGCTATTCATACACATTCAGGTGTGATCATAGCTCATTGCAGCTTTGAACTCCTGGCCTCAAGTGATAATACTGTTTCAGGCTCCCAAGTAGCTGGGACCTATAGCCTATTTTTAAACTTTTAACCTTACAAATGAAAATAATAAAGGCAATTCCATGAGGCATAAAATGTTTTTAAAATGTAAGAAAAAAGCTAAAAAAGAAAAAAAGAGGCTAAAGTTATAGAATTGCTTGATTTCCCATTGAGGAAATAAACCCAAGGTCATTTAACAAATTAGCACAAAGACTAAAACTTAGCCTCCTAACCCTGACTTGGTGTTATATTGTCTCAAAACAGATTTCAGTCAGGTAGATTAAAATGACACCATCAGAATATGGTGCTTCAATGAACTTGTGTATAAAATAGCATCCCCTGGGTAAGGACCAAAGGAAGAAAATATTATCACCACTGGTTTGTTTTGACATAAGCAATGCTGGGAAGGAGGATGTACTTATCAGCAGAGGACCTCTCCAATTCCTATTGCTGTTATCTATGCTTCAAGGTAGTGGAGAAAAATCTTAAGGAACAAGTTCAAAAGACTAAACAAATCAGCTAATCCTTTGAGGAACGAGATTGAACTAGCTGCTCATGGTCATGGATGCTGGCGGAATGCAAACAGAGATTTACCCTTTTTATGTTTGTTCTTTTACACCTGATAAAATTACAATAAATACAAAACATGTTTTAGTGTAATGCTTTGGTAATAATGATGGTGTGTCATGGATATATGATATAGTAAATATTGTGACTACTTGCAGTGAGCTTCTTAACTATTTGTACTCTTACTTGCTTTAAAATGCTCTACACTGAACAAACAGAAAAAATGAAAACTGAGAATTTAAAAAAAAACATTTTTAAAGTACACAGTGAAGAACTCACATCTTGGATAAGCAACAGTTTTAAGAATTCACTTATTTTTTTGTAGAGTTGTTACCATAAATTCACAGCTCTGATCAGAAAACCTCTCTCTGCCTAGAATCAGTTTAAAAGACATTCAGGACTCAGCCAGGGTTCCCACAGACAACTTTCTCAAATAGTTAACACACAGGCAGAATCAACCACTGGTGGACAAAACGATTACTGAGCATGTGGCCCCACCACTAAATGCCTGCCCTACATGTTTTCATCTCTATATCCGTTTACGTTCTGTGTTATCTGTTTCTGAAATCAGGAACAGAAATTTAATGCTGTTAATGGAAGGATGTAGTTTAAGTCAGACTTTCAATGTCTGTGCCTATAGATCCACAGACATTCCAGAGTAAAAAGACTTTTGACTGTGGTTGGCAAGGGCTCACTCCGGTTTGGCTTTTGAATTGAATCTTAAAACTGTTTTAAATTTTATCCATTTTAAAATGGAACACAGTCCAATGTAATAACCCACAAGAAAAAGTAATTTCTAAAACAGTAATTATATATAATAATGACAGAATGGAAAATTCAGAAACAATTCCATTCAGGATAATGATAAAAAAAATATTCAGCCAGGCATGGTGGCTCATGCTTGCAATCCCAACACTTTGTGAGGCAAGGCAGGTGGATCACCTGAGGTCAGGAGCTCAAAAGCACCCTGGCCAACATGGTGAAACCCCATCTCTACTAAAAATACAAAAAAAAATTAGCCGGGTGTGGTGGTGCGCACCTGTAGTCCCAGCTACTCGGGAGGCTCAGGCAGGAGAACTGCTTGAACCCAGGAGGCAGAGGTTGCAGTGAGCTGAGGTAACACTACTGTACTCCAGCCTGGGCAACAGAACAAGACTGTCTCAAAAAGAAAAAAATTATCTAAGCTATACTGAATTAACAAGTTTGTGAACTATGTCCATTTCTGGACATTTGTGAATAAACAAAAAGCCCATGAAACAATTTATACCCTGATTATGCTAACTATATATATATATATATATATATACACACACACACACACACACACATATACTACATATATGCACATATATAATGTATACGTGTATGTGTTTTAAAGATAATCTAGACTGATGGTAGTGATGGTTTTATTTTTCTCTAAAAATCTCAAGTTTTGTTTTGTTTTATTTTGACAGGTTTCTTGCTCTGTTGCTCAGGCTGGAGTCCTACGGTGTGATCACAGTTACTGCAACCTCGAAGTCCTCGGGTCAAGTGACACTCCCATCTCAGCCTCCTGAATAGTTTAGACCACAGGCAGACACCACCATACCCGGCTAATGTTTTTATTTTTTGTAGAGATGGGGTCTCACCATGTTTGCCCAGGCAAGTCTTGAACTCTTGGGCTCAAGTGATCCTCCCACCTTGGCCTCCCAAAGTGTTGGGATTACAGGTGTAAGCCCCCACACCTGGCCCACAGATTTTCTTTTAAGCAGTAGAAAAAAAGGAAATATAAAACATCAGCAGGTTTGCAAGCTGTACTTCATTAAGAAAAGAACATCGCGATCTTCATACTTCCCTTGACTAAAACCTTTGTGTCTTCTAAAATATTTGGTGATATTGACAGGAGAAGTGTTTCAGGCAGGAGAGCTTGAAGAGAAAACAGTCTCTGATACTTTTCTCAATGTAAACAGGGAATGGCAACAAAATTGTGCCCTTGGTACTGAAAGCAAGGCCCTGTATGCACGCTTACCAAAGATCATCAGTTTAAATCATGGCATTTATGGCTTCATCAAGCAATTTCTTCATAAAGAGATATATACTGAAATCGGAGCTGTTTTTAGCCTCTCTAGCTGAGGATCTGCTTCAGCATGTGAACATCCTATATGTGACTATTTTTCATTTGCACCTCACATCAAATGATGACAGAGACGGGACATGAGCAGCTAGGGCAGGCTGAGAACTTACCCCAATATCATCATCACTCTGTATCAACTGTGAGTGTCCAAAGAGGCGCCTCTTCAGAATGGGCTCAACCAGAGTAAGATATACCATGTACAGAAGTAGAAGGCCCAAAATGGAGAGATAAATTATAATGGTAACCTAAAGGAAATTGAAAATTAAGTTACATCTCTGTTCAAGCTGATAAATCAGAATTTTGTATGATAATAGTAAAGCTGACTGACATACCTGCTAAGCATATAGGATTTCTATACAAACCAGATAGCAATGTAAGAAATAAACTCAACTATTCACCAAAGTAGTATTTAAGAAAAAAGAGCAAAGATCTTTAGAATCTTTTTGCAAGTCTTCAAGACTTCATCTTCACCTACTGCTAATCACTTGTCACCACTGCTAGCACAGCAGTTTGTTGTTTTTCCCAGTTGGACATAATCTCCAAGATTCAGCTAGGACATTATGTTTGGACTGCTGCCAAAACAACTTAAACCCCAATAGAAAATGTAATTCAACAGAATACTCTTTAGATCAATTTAGATATACAAAAGTATTCTCTAGGCTGGTGATTCTTTTCTTTCTTTTTTTATTTTTTGAGATGTAGTCTTGCTCTGTAGCCCAGGTTGGAGTGGAGTGGCGCAGTCTCGGCTCATTGCAACCTCCGCCTCCCAGGTTCAAGCGATTCTCCTGCCTCAGCCTCCCAAGTAGCTGGGACTACAGGCACGCACCACCATGCCCGGGTAATTTTGTTGTTTCTAGTAGAGACGAGGTTTCACCATGTTGGCCAGGATAGTCTCGATCTCCTGACCTCATGATCCACCCACCTTGGCCTCCCAAAGTGCTGGGATTACAGGCATGAGCCACTGCGCCCAGCCAGCCGATCTTTCTTGTGACCTTAATTCATGTACTGACAAAAAGTACAGTGTGACACACCCACTAGAAGAACTACAATCAAATAAATGGACAATGACAATACCAAGTGTTGGCAAGGATGTGGAGAAACAGCCCTCATGCACTGTGATGGGAATGTGAAATGGTATAACCTCTTTTGGAAACAATCTGGCAGTTTCTTACAAAGTTAAACATGGCTGGGTGGAGTGGCTCATGCCTGTAATTTCGGCATTCTGGGAGGCTGAGGCAGGTGGATCACAAGGTCAGGAGATTGAGACCATCCTGGCGAACATGGTGAAACCCCATCTCTACTAAAAATACAAAAATTAGCTGGGTGTGGTGGCACACACCTGTAATCCCAGCTACTCGGGAAGCTGAGGTAGAATCGCTTGAACCCAGGAGGTGGAAATTGCAGTGAGCCAAGATCATGCCACTGCACTCCAGCCTGGCAACAGAGCGAGACTCTGTCTCAAAAAAAAAAAAAAAAAAAAAAAAAAAAGTTTAACATAATTTAACCATTCTAAGGAATTAACCCAGGAGAATGGAAAACATTATATATCCATACAAAGACATTTATGTAGATATTCATGACAGTATTATTCGTAATAGAAACTCAGAAATCAAATGTCCATCAATTAATACATGCATATTTATATAGTGAAATACTATTCAGCGATAAAAAATGAAGTACTGATACATGCTACAACTTGGATAAACATCAAAAACATGCTAAATGAAAGAAGCTAGTCATAGAAGACAATACATTGTATGATTTCCATATACATGAAATGTCCATGTATGTAGAGACAGAAAATAGACTAGGATTGTCTGGGGGTGGAGCTAGAAATGGGATTAACTGCAATTGGGCATGAGGGATCTTTTTGGGGTAGTAGAAATGTTCTGAAACTGGATTTATTTTTTTTTTTTGAGACAGTCTCACTCTGTCACCCAGGCTGGAGTGCAGTGGAACGATCTCAGCTAAGTACAACCTCTGCCTCCAGGATCAAATGCTTCTCAGGCCTTAGCCTCCCAAATAGCTAATTTTTATAATTTTAATAGAGATAAGGTTTCACCATGTTGACCAGGCTGGTTTTGAACTTCTGACCTCAGGTGATCCACCCACCTTGGCCTTCCAAAGTGGTGGGATTATAGGTGTGAGCCGCCATGCCTGAAACTGGATTTTAAAATGTTTTAAATCTACTAAAGTTTATAGAACTGGATACTTATAATAAGTTACTTTTGGCCCGGCGCAGTGGCTCACACCTGTAATCCCAGCACTTTGGGAGGCCAAGGCAGGCAGATCACGAGGTCGAGATTGAGACCATCCTGGCCAACATGGTGAAACCCCGTCTCAACTAAAGAAAAGAAAAATTAGCTGGGCCTGGTGGTGTGTGCCTGTAGTCCCAGCTATTCGGGAGGCTGAGGCAGGAGAATTGCTTGAACCTAGAAGGCAGAGGTTGCAGTGAGCCAAGATCGTGCCACTGCACGCCAGCCTGGCGCCTGGCGACAGAGCGAGACTCTCTCAAAAAAAAAAAGTGACTTTCAGGATACATCAATTGTCTACTTTTTACAAATCTGTTGAACAATAGTACAGTGAGGATTTCTCTACACTTCAGCACCTTGCTGGAGCAAGAACTCTTCCACAGGGTCAATCACAGCAGAAATCTTTGTGACTGTTATAACTAACCAACCGAGATTCCCCACAGGGCTTCTTTGGGGGAAAAGGAATGGGAGGTGCCATGTAAAAAAATTTACTATAATAAAGTAACTGAACTCATTAGAGATACAAAATGGTGATGAGAGGTATCTACATTCCATTTACTACAGCAACAGTCCACAACCTTTTTGGCACCAGGGACCAATTTCATGGAAGACAATTTTTCCAGGGACTGGAGGTGGTGGGGGATGGTTTGGGGATGATTCCAGCACATTTATTGTGCACTTTATTTCTATTATTATATATAATGAAATAATTATACAATTTACCACAATGTAGAATCAGTGGGAGCCCTGAGCTTGTTTTCCTGCAACTAGACGGTCCCATTTGGGGGTGATGGAAGACAGGGACAGTTCATCAGGCACTAGATTCTCATTCTCATAAGGAGCACACACTCTAGATCCCTCACATATGTAGTTCACAACAGTGTTCACCCTGCTATGAGAATCTAATGCTGCTGCTGATCTGACAGGAGGTGGAGCTCAGGTGGTAATTTGAGTGATGTGGGGGCGACTGTAAAGAAGATGAAGCTTCGCTCACTGGCCCACTGCTCACTTCCTGCTGTATGGCCCTGTTCCTAACAGACCACAGACTGGGCAGTGGCCTGGGGGCTGGGGACCCCTGCCCTACAGAAAATGAAGAAGGGAAATCTTAAAATCCAGAAGTAATATTTCTAGAATAATTACTATATATTTAATTTTTTCAAAGGGTTGGAAAGGCAAGGAAAGGAAGGCTTAAAAATGCTCTCTCAGCCTCTGGCGCACATGGCGCACACAGAGGCTGGGATCTCTTTCTGGAATACGCTAATTACACATAGGGCATTTTTGTGCCATTTCACGTATCTATCTAACATGCCCTAACAAATCCACAAAACATCTCAGTGAGGCAGGCAGAACAGGCCTATTATTTCTTTTGGCGTGGGGGTCCAAAATTTTCTGTCTTGTCTAGAAACCATCCAGAAGCAGAAATGAGGGAGGGAGGGAGACAGACAGATATATATTTTACCTTGATTGTGACAGAGCTTCTTTCTTCGTATTTGCATTCACAGCGTAGACAGTATGCTTCTACGTCAGGCCCCCGCACAGGCATGGGCTCCACAACATGAAGGCAGTCACTGAAAAAGATAAAATGCGGCTTAAGCCCAGCTAGCTCTTCTGCTTGCTCTGATCAAAACTTTCCTGAAATCCAGAATAATCATTAAACTTACTCAATGAAAGAGCATAAAAAACTAATAATTAAAATAATTTCGTCTCTCAATGTTAGCATTTTGGTAAGATTTATCCATTTAAGAAGCCACAGACACATATATAGTAATGTCTATTACCAAAGTTTAACAGTTAGAAAAATGTACCAGAAAAATCCCAAACAGGAAGAAAAACTACTTAACAAATCATCTTTAGACTTGCTGTTACTAAGCAAAACTACTTTAAAAGGGTTAAAGTGATGTGGGGCATTGTTCACATAAACAATTATCTTTTTTGAACTAACATTCTTTTTTGTTTTTTAAGAGACAAGGTCTCGTTCTGTCACTTGGGCTGTAGTGCAATGTTGCCATCATAGCTCACTGCAGCCTCAGACTCCTGGGCTCAAGTGATCCTCCTGCCTCAACCTCCAGAGCAGCTATGATTACAGGAGCATGCCACCATGCCTGGCTAATTTTTAAATTTGTTGTAGAGATCAGGTCTCGGTTTGTTTCCCTAACATGTCTGGAATACCTGGCCTCAAGTGATCCTCCTATCTTGGCCTCCTAAAGTGCTGGGATTACAGGTGTGAGCCACCGTACCCAGCCAACATCATTCTTAACTGCCAGTGTGGTAAATAAATGACTTATCACGTGTAATAGAGTGGTGAATTCTGAAACTCTGAAAATTGAACACTCAAAGCCACATACAGGAAGAAACAATCACTTTTCTTAATGAGCAAATATAATGAAAAAGCAAGAAGTAGAATGAGAATAAAAATATTTAAAAACAAAAACTGGTTATTCCAAATAACTAAATAAAAACAAAAAAGTGAATGTTTTTGTTAAATGTTACTTATTTCCCCTGACCTCATTTTCAAGGCTAATTATTTATGGTTTATGTAAACACAGTGCTATCAGATTTTTCCTAGGAATCTGTCAAATCTACATAATAGCTAAATTATTCTTCTCCTCAACTATTAAGAGTCTACTACTCTGATCACCTTCAGCAAAAGTAGGGCGAGCCTTCCTGTCCTCCTGCCAGCTGTTGGACAATTCTCTTACCTTTTGGTATCTCTTAGGCATCTCTGGCTGCCTCAAGCACTTTGCTACACCATCCTATCTTATTTTACCCATTCTCTTGGGGACACCCAATCCTCTAGGCTGATTCCTTTTCTTTCCCTACCAAAATGTACTTTTTGGAAACAAAGTTACAGCTTGGTAGCAGGAGTAAGTTCTAATGTTCTACACCACTGTAAGATGACTATATAATTAATCATATATATTATAGTTTCAAATGGCTAGAAGAAAGATATTGAATATTTTCAACACAAATAATAAATGTGTGAGACGTAAATATTCTGATCAAATCACTATATCTTATATGTATTGAAACATCACTATGTACCCATACATATGTACAGTTACTGTGTCAAAAATTAATTTCTAGAAATTCATCTTTTCATGTTCTGTTGCCTCTGAACTGTGACATTAGAAAAAATAACCAAAAATTGTACATGGTAAAAGTTGTTAGGTTATACTTAACAGGTAATTTAATTCTAACAAAGACAGTAATGACAAATTTCCACTGATATTATTTCGAATACGGGTAAAGCCCACAACTCTCACCATAAATGTGTGTGATATCTGTTCCAAATATACAGAAGACCAGGCATGTACCTAACTGGATGCAGGCACAAAATGGGCAGAGGGAACTATATCCCATAACAGGCGTTATCTGAGGATCAGAGAGCTCATCTAGCCTCACACTTAAGAGAAGGTCACAGAGTAAATTCGTATTTGAAAAAGGATCAGGCCACGTACAGTGGCTCATCCCTGTAATCCCAGAGTCTTAGGAGGCCAAGATGTGAGGATCACTTGAGGCCAACTTGAGACCAGCCTAGGAAACACAGTGAGACCCAGTCTTGACAAAAATAAAAACTGGTCAGGTTGATGGTATACACCTGCAGTCCCAGCTACACAGGAGGCTGAGGCTGAAAGACCACTGGAGCCTAGGAGTTCAAGGCTACAGTGAGTTATGATTGTTCCACTGCACTCCAGCAATTAAAAAAAAAAAAAAAAAAAAAGGACCAGAATCGGAATCCAAGACTCCTGCTTCCTACATCAGTTCTTTATCTCTGAACTTGAGGAACATGAAACTGACCTCCTATTTGGTTTCCTATTTCCACTTTAGAAGCCTCAGCAACAATACCTAAGAATCACTTGGGAATTTTGAGTGCTAAGTAAGTATTGAGTATTTCTTTTGAAGGGCACACACATTTTAATAACAAAAAGATATTGAGTGCTGTGCAAAAGTTGTGCCCGGCCAGAGAGGAAGCAGTAAGGTAGATTCTGGCTGACCAGTCATCACTAAGAGCTAGACCTAGACAGAGCGTAACCACTTAAGGAACTAGGCAACACCTCCCCCTAGTGCCAAAAGGAACACATTAGCTTTAAATCACACCCCAAACACAAACCAGAGCAGTCCAAGTTTTACATCGGCCACCATTAAGTCAAGACATAAAGAAAAACTGGACAAAATGAAAGGCTTAGGAAACAAAAGGTAAAACTGTATCTAGGGCCTCACAGATACTGGAGGCCTCGTAAAGCCATAATTCTGGTGAATCATAACTTGCCTGCCATTGTAGTCAGTTAAAAATTTTTAGTGTCAGTTGGGAACCTATACCCTGGAAAAATGCTAAGCTGCAGGAAAGAAACAAGGAACAGTGGGAGGGAGAGAAAGAAAACCCCCAAGCAAGCCTTATTCTCAACTGTTTGTTTTCTTTCTTTCTTTTTTTGGACAGAGTCTTGCTCTGTCACCTAGGCTGCCAGGCTGGAGGGCAGTGGCACATTCTCAGCTCACTGCAACCTCTGCTTCTGGGACTCAAGTGATTCTCTGCCTCAGACTCCCAAGTAGCTAAAATTACAGGTGTGTGCCACCATGCTCAGCTAATTTTTGTATTTTTAGTAGAGACGGGGTGTTGCCATGTTGGCCAGGCTGTCCTCGAACTCCTGGCCTCAAGTGATCTACCTGCCTTGGCCTCCCAAAGTGCTGAGATTACAGATGTGAGCCACCATGCCCTGCCTCTACTGTTTTCAAAGCTATTTCTACCAATAATGAAGGATGAATGACTATGGTCTTGTCTGAGCCTGAAATAATAAAAAGTTAGTGAAAAGATTAGTGCTAAACACTGCTACTTAAGAGACAGGCACTGCATTCCGTTACTGATAATATACCATAAGCACTGAATAAATTTGGAAAATTTATAGACGTAATATTAAAGATTCATTGAACACTCTTGTATCATGTAAAGTAACTTCCTGATATAAAACCTATAAGAATATACACCCAAACCACTTCGTTAATATGACACCACTTAAAGTGGAACATGGAGGTTCATGAGACGTTCTCAAGAACACATTTACCAAATATGAGACTGAACCTAAATGCATATCAGGGAAGAACAGACAATGGCATCAGAGAAACTAGACATACTTGAAGATGGACTTTTCTTTTTAACAGGTTGGAATACTGCTAACTGAATATAATCTTGTTTATAACTCTTTGCTGGTTATTTAGGTATGAAATCAGGTACATGTGAAAGTTCCCACCATTTGGAAGTATTTTTCTTAAATTCCTAGCCCATCAATCTTCTATCGTGGTTACAAACCATAAAACATCACAATTCCATGGGAAGGAACACATTCATCCTGCTGTAACACAACTGCATCCCTACTGTTTCATGGCACACATAGAAAAAGCTATCATTTGTCAGGTCTGCTGGGACAATCAGAGAAGGCTGCTGGTGGTCAGTCAGTCAGGATCCCCGAGTCATCACTGCCCAAGGACTGAACAGGTAATATCTTGCCACACCTATAACTTCTTCATTTACACCAAATGGGAAACTCTGACATACATAGCTCATTTTCGTTTCTTCTTGAGCCTTCTGACACTTGTAAACATAGCTTCACATACTTGGCAATACATCATCAAAACCTACAAGTTGTAAAAATTATAACCCAGAAAAAGGAGGCTCGCTAACTTTCCACTGAAAAGCAAGAGGGAAAAAGGTCCCTCACCAAAACTTAAGGGGGTACAGGAAGACAGCTATGGGTAGTTTAGGTGCCACAAACCCAGTCATATGCCCCCATGAAACTCTGCCTACCTGGGTCTTAGTGTTTTGGCTGTATACCTTTAGGCCTGCATCATGCACTCAGGGCCTTACTCTCACTTTTTCAAATGGAAATATAATTTTGCATTTTTGCTTCAAAGGCAATACTTAAAAAGAAAACTATGCATTTGATGAACACTCTGGGATAACACTGACAACCACAGAAAGAAATGTGACAGGTAATTCAGTAATCCAGATACTTACCAATCTTTCTGAGATATGTTCTTATTATAAATATGCCCAGAATTTTCTTTATAGGGAGGGCAGATACATTTACATCTGACATCCTCGAAATTCTGTAACCAAAATGGAAACAGTATAGCGTGTTGACAGTTCATCAATATTTTTTAAAACTGTACCATAAATATTTTGCCAAGCATCTTCTACAAAATATTCTAAAATCATTCATTTAAAACTTTAACTTTGACAGATACAAGTTTTTAAAAAGCCATAGTCCTTTGTGGTAATGCAAATGAATCATTATATATTACATGTAGTTATTTTGAAATAATACATGATCTAAGACTTATTAACCATATTTATGGGTCACATGACAATCAAATTATGCTAATGTTATTACCATTTACCTGCCACTAGAAAGACACATAGTAAACGGATAGTTGTGCCTGTAAATAAGAATGTTCATTACTAAAGGCTGGGAAAGAATCAAACTAAAAATGATTCACAAAAAAAGGCACAATTCTTCTACGTATTATCCTTTCACCCCTTGGTAAAAGGCACACTGACATGGATAAAAGGGGTTGGTTGGGCCAGAGTCCCATAGAAGGGATGAAATATTAAAGGCACCCAGCTACAACTAGAAAGGAAGTGCACACAGGAAGTAACCTGACTCTGAGATCAGTTTGGTATATGTTCCCAGGAAACTATGCTTCTAATTCCAGGTTGACGGAAAGAACAAAAACCAACAAAACAAGTTTCAAGAGGTGGAGGAACAGGTGACTAAGTATCTGGATAGAGAAAAGAGGAGATGCTTCCTCAGCAAAGGGGAATGCATTTGAGAAGGAAGTGGCTCATCAGTCCCCAGAGGACCTTGCCCACTCCTCCTACATACAGTGATACTTCCGGCAGAGCTACTGACAATTCACAAATGTATTCAGCAACCAGTTAGTGAGCGTTTGCTCTGTGTTAGATCTTGTGCTCAATGAGGTGGATTCAGATAAGCATAAGACATGGTTTCTGCTGATAATCAGGACACACCCTAGTAAAGGAGGCTGACAAATAAATACATGATCACAATATATAGAGTTATGAGGCAAAATATGCAGAGGGTGCCGGCAATGTTTTGAAAGACAGGAGATGTGCTGCTGTCCCTGTTTCTGGTAGGAGGTAGAAAAGGTTCAAAAAAAACTTGAATCAAAAACATTTGCCTTCCTGTAACCTTTCCCCACTCCTACATTTAAAGGAATTAGAAATTAAAGCTCTTATTTTAAAAAATGCAGTATCATTCTATTTTCCTATCATACTAATGTGAATCCCTTCTGTTTACCCCAATGATGAGCTAGCTCATCAAAGATGAAGCACAGGTATGCATGGAGCCAGGGCAGGTCTGGAGAGCTGGGGCACCAGCGAACAGCATGAAGGGACTAGAAGGTCAAGAAATCAAACCAGGGAGGCCACACCCTCACCTCTCTTGTAGTTTAGTTCTTCCCTTACCCACTAAATATCAGAAAGAGAGAAGGCAAGAAAGGGACCGAGGGGCTCCTGGAGGGAGTTAGGTGAGAATATGAAACAGGTGAAAGATGCTCCGTAGGTGCTATTGGGAGGGAAGCAGGCCAGGAGAGGCAAGTTCCCACCACAGGAAGGGAGGTGTTAGGGGTGATCTGAGCCGAGTCGGTCCTTGACAGGGAAGCCTTCTGTCAGATGGATGCTTCCTATCGTTCTAACTTGGGGCATGAGGGGCCTGTGAGGCTGGCGGAGGGCGCGGGTGGGCTGTCAGAGCGTAAGGTGGAAAGCTAAAGGCTCTCGGAAGCGAAAAGGTTGTCAAGTGAAAGGAGCGTGCGGCCGGGGCTGGGAAGGCAAATTTCAAGGTGGGGAGGGGCTGTTGTCCGGGCTGTGGGCACTGTCGGGGCTGGGGACGGCTGTGGGACGCTGACTGCCAGGCAGTCGGGGCTGAGGGCGAGAGTGCCGCCGGGCAGTGGGGAGTGGGGGGTCTGGTGGCGGCGGGGGTCTGTGGGGCTGTGAAGCTAGGGGTCTGGCTGTCAGGAATGGGCTGGGCAGCAGGTTGGCAGACCCAGTTTCCGCAAGGCCGGTGGCAGGGGAGGAGCTTCCGTCAGGAGCGAGACTGGGCGGGACTCACCTTGGCGGCGTCTGACAGCTGCGCCAGCAGGAGCACGAACAGCGCCAGGCACGAGAGACTGAGCAAGGAGCCAAGCCGAAGGAGGCCTCCCCATAGGGTCGCCATCGCTGGGGGCCCGGCGGTCCCCCAGCTCGGAGCCCCCACGACCGGCTCCTGGCTCCCGGCTCGGGCTCGGGCTCAGGTTCAGGCTCAGGACCCAGCTGGGGATCCTCCGCCCTCACTTCCGCCTGGACGCGAAGGCGTCACTGGGCGCGCTGGTTCAGATGCAAAAAGCATCCGCCCCGGAAACGGTTTCCCGAGCGAAGGGCCCGGAGGCTGCGCGGTCCTGGCGCCCAGCCCTGCCTCCCCTCGGCACTAGGACGGAAGGGGACTTCTAGGGTGGCAGCCTGGGCCCAGTAAAGCTTTGCAGCTCTTGGATATCCTCACCGGGCGCAGAAGCTGCGGGTTTATGGAGTCGCCATTGCGCTGGAAAAGTTCTCCTGGCACGGAGACCCCAGTAAACTCCGGGTGTCACACAGGGGCCTCCGGCTGCCCATGCGGGCCGGAGCTGTTCGTGCACAAGCAGGACGGGCGCTGAGCATGGAAACGGGACTGGAACTGGCCGAGCCATGCTTTTCTGGGAAGCCCACCCCCAGTCAGAGGGTTGGGGTTGGTCCCTGCACCTTAGGTACTAACCTGCTGCCCACTCGCCTCCTGGACACAGCACCCCGTCGGCTTTCTAAGTCAGTGAGCTGCCCTCGTGGGTGTGGCCTCCCCTTGGAGCTCCCCGCTTGCCTCCCCCAGGTCCAGCCTGCAGCTAGGAAGTGGGTCACAGCGACGGGGCTGGGCTGGGCCGGGCCAGGCTCCGGGAGATAGGGAATTGGCGAAATAACTGCTCCAGTAGTATCCTCCGCCTAGAACTCCTCGAGGTGGCGAATTGGGGTGCTATGCACTGGTAAGGCAGTGCCTGTTCAGGGCTGCCAACTGGTCTTCCCAGAGCCGTCATTCTCAGCAAGTGCTTTAGGAGTACCTTAGATTGGCACAGTCTCCCACTGAAATATTTTTTTTAGTGGAGACAATGGAGATAGTGGCAAGGATGCAGGGATCATCACAGCCTCTAGGGATTTATTAAATGACCTTGGGCCAATCACTTCCCTTCTCTGGGCCTGTAGTTTTTGGCTCAATATGGGGAAATGGATTTCAATTATGCTCCATGTAATACCCGTGTTTTGTGTTGAAAGCTTTTCTTAAAAGTCTGGATATCCTTGGCTATCCACTAATATGTAAGAGTGGGGCATTAGAAAGCTGATGGAAAGTTCTGTTTACATTGGCCAGTGAGGTGGCTCACACCTGTAACCCCAGGAACTTTGGGAAGTCAAGGCAGGCAGATTACTTGAGGCCAGGAGTTCAAGACCAGCCTGGCCAACATGGTGAAACCCTGTCTCTACTAAAAATACAAAAATTAGCCAGGCATGGTGGCATGCGCCTGTAGTCCAAGCTACTTGGGAGCCTGAGGCATGAGAATCACTTGAACCCAGGAGGCAGAATTGCAGTGAGCTGAGACAATCTCACTGCACTCCAGCCTGGGCTGGAGACCAAGACTCTGTCTCCGAAAAAAGAAGAAAAAAAAAAAGCTTCTGTGTACATACTCAGGACTTGTAATTAGTAGGACATACTGCAGTATTTTTCAAAATTCTGATAGTTTGTGAAATCAATCTAATCCATTTTATTTCCCCTAAATGACAGAACAGAATAGAAAATACTACCTCAGAATACGTCATACATGGAAAGGGAATTACTTTGTGAAACTTTGGTTTCTTACATGCATATCATATATACATATTATGTACTGGTTGGATCCCATAAAATGGGAGTTTTTTTTTTTAATTGTGGGTGTTTTTTCAAAGAAATTTGAAAAAATACCACTTAGGATAACCAAGGAGATCTCAAACTGTCAGGGCAGGTAGGTCTTTTCTCTTAGAGAGGTAAGTTCTTCTGGAATAAAATTCTCTATACTTTTGCCTGCCTGCTAGTCTGATAGACAGTATTCATTCATTCAGGTATTTGTTGAGCACTTACTATGTGCCAAATACTGTTCCAGGTTCTGGGTATACATCAGACAAAACTGTCTCCTGGGACTAGATTCTAGTGAGGGAGAAAAACAGTGAGTTATGTAGTATTTAGGCATTGTGCAAGGTAACACAGCAATGGAAGGGAAAGCTGAACATATGCATATAGATGCTGGTAAGTAGGTAGATGTGGGGGATGAATGAAGTGGAAAGGAAGGTCATCATCTGAGAGTGAGAATGGGGAAGGAAGTGTTGGAAGAAAAGAGAAGGTATGAAATAATTTAGGATATAACACAGCAATCTATAGCCTGTGACCAAATCCTATTTTGGTGCAGTCCACAAGCTAAGAATACTTCTTTACTTTTAAATGGTTGGGTAAAAATTTAAGATGATATTACATCATGACATGTGAGAAAAATGCACCTCAAATTTATTTACATATTGCCTCTGGCTACTTTCATGCTACAGTGGCATAGGTGAATAACTGCAAAAGAGACTATGACCTGCAATGCCAAAAATGTTTATCTGGCCCCTTACAGAAAGAGTTGGCTGACTCCTGATCTAGGAGAATGGGAAGGTAAATAGGGAAATACGATTGTCAGGCAGCATTAAAGGCCTGAAGGTTAGGATACAAATTTAAAGAGAGCCTATTCAGCATAGTTGCTGCACAGAAGTAGGTAAAAAGTAGGCAAACAGCTGGCTTTAAAGTTGTGACTTTGCAAAGTGAGTGTGACAAAAAGGGGTAAACTAAGTTGAACATACATGCAAGTTGCATGATTATAATGATTGCTCCTGGGATTTAAGTTGATTATGATGGGAAGAAAAGGAACTTGGAGATTAGGGACAATGAAAAGGTGGTTGTGAAAGGAGTACTGGAGTTAAGTTACCAGATGTCTGGAAGATAGACAGTGGTGGTCAGATGAGATAGATTATGGAGGGGTTACAGTTTTTGGTAATAATAAGACAGATCTAAGGTATGACTGTGAGAGTGAATGGATGGAAATAGAGAACAAGATCAGTGGAAAACTACTATTCAAAGAACCTGTAGTCAGGTGTTGAAAGGATTGTCCATCTGTGTGATTAAAAATTGCCAAGAATTAAATCAGGAGTAGTGTTGCAGGAAATGAAATGAGTAACAACCTAAACTTACTGAGAAATGAGAGGGGATGACCCACGGGTTTGTAGATTTTGTAGATGATAGCAATGAAGAGAAGAGATATAAATTGATGGTATGGGAGTTTTTAAAACTGAGAGTTTTAAAAGATAGGAGACATGTCTGGAAGCAGTAATGAGGAACAAGAACATCATCTACCGCATCTCCAGGAACAGTAATAGGAGGACTGTGGGAGAAAAAAAATCACCTTGAGAGGACTGCAGTGAAAGCAGTATCCTAAGATAACAGCCAAGTTTCAGAGTTCTGGGATCCAAGCCAAGGAAGGGTTTCCAACTCTTCAGAATGCCGAGGTTTAGGCTGGGCATACTGGCTCATGCCTGTAATCCCAGCACTCTGGGAGGCCGAGGTGGACAGACCACTAGAGTCCAGGAGTTCAAGACCAGCCCAGGCAACATGGTGAAATCCTGCCTGTACACAGAATATAAAAATTACCCAGGTGTGGTGGTGCATGCCTGTAGTCCCAGCTATTCAAGAGCCTGAGGTGGGAGAATCACTTGAACCCAGGAGGTTGAGGCTACAGCAAGCCATGATTATGCCACCGTACTCTAGCCTGGGCAATGGAGTGAGACCCTGTCTTAAAAAAACAAACAGAATGCTGAGCTTTAAATCCCTATATTCAGTAGGATGTCTCCCCTCAGCTCCCAGTTGTTCTTGGTGGCTCTGACTAGTTCATCTTCCCCAGGAGATAATGAATGAATGAATTTATAAGGGGAGAGGATCTCAGGACTAACTTTATAGTCTTTCAAGTAACCATCTTGTTTTTAAGCCCTCCATCTACTACCTCTTGTTTTCCAGATAACTGATGCCTCCAATTCCTAAGCCTTTTCTGGGGTTCTGTGGTACAAATGTGCTTGCTTATTGCTGGTAACACTCCGCCAGCGCCTGTCCCAGACTTCTGCTTTCTGTGGTTTGCTCAGTTTGTTCCTTGTTTTTTGCTTTCCAGATTCAAAGGTTTTGTTGACATTGCCTGGATGCTGCCATAATTTCTCTCATGTTCTTTGTCCTTATAGCATTTAACATTCCTTTACTGTCATTTTATTGGCATTTCAGGAGGAAGGTATGTTTCTAGTACACTGTATTTTTGTTGTTGTTTTTGAGACAAGAGTCTCACTCTGTCACCCAGGCTGGAGTGCAGTAGTGCGATCTCAGCTCACTGCAACCTCTACCTCCTGGGTTCAAGTGATCCTCCCGCCTCAGCCTCCTGAGTAGCTAGGGGTCAGGCATGCACCACTATGCCTGGATAATTTTTGTGTTTTTAAGTAGAAATGGGGTTTCTCCATGTTGGCCAGCCTGGTCTTAAACTCCTGGCCTCAAGTGATCTACCCATCTAGGCCTCCCAAAGTGCTAGGATTATAGGCATGAGCCACCACACCAGGCCAATCCACTGTTTTTAAAAAGTTGTCAACAAGAGTTTTGTTAAGGGGTCAAACATGTCTGACTGGTTCACTTTTCCCAGAATGCTGCTTAGTCCCTCAAACACACAAATTCCCGATGGGTCCACCTACCAGGCTTCTGGTATATACAGACAGATGTGAATCCCAGTGGTGGAAACAACTGATTATGAGTTTTCTACTGCATTTCTTATTCTAATGGTCACTCTTTTCCATTCCTGTCCTTTCCCTCATCCCTTACCTGCTGTTACTGAACCTTATCATTTCTAAAATTCCACTTTCCTGGGGGCATCCACAGCTGGATCCTTTTCTTGGCTATCATCCTTCAGGCCTTAGAACAGGTTGCCTTCATACACAATTGTGCTCCAACTGGTCTTTATGAAACCTGTTCATTTCAATATACTTTTAGGCCAGGCTCACACCTGTAACCTCAGCACCTTGGGAAGCCGAGGCCGGTGGATCACCTGAGGTCAGGAGTTCAAGACCACCATGCCTAGCCAACATGGTGAAACCCTGTATTTACTAAAAATACCAAAAAAAAAAAAAAAAAAAATTAGCCAGGCATGGTGGCATGTGCCTGTAGTCCCAGAGACTCAGGAGGCTGAGGCTTAAGAATCACTTGAACCCAGGGGGTGAAGGTCACAGTGGGCTGAGATTGTGCCACTGCACTCCAGCCTGGGAGACAGAGCAAGACTCCATCTTCAAAATCGATCTATCTATATCTGTCTATCTACTTTCAATTCCCCAATTGTTCCTACATACCACTGAGAAG